TGAGACAGAATGAACTAAGGGTGAATTTTGGCTTGTTTTGGTAGATTGAGAGAGGTACTACGTGGTGTTATCTATGGGCAGTGACATGCACAGTATTTTACACAAGTAATATCGACCAATTGTCACGATTTGACATGTATACGTGTTTTCATTTTGGAGCGGTGAAATTTTAAAAACTTACTTCCTATACCAAATTAATATTTACATATGATTACCTTTTAAAGTGGTATCGGCCTATTATACATATACATTTTTCAAGTAAGTGTACATTAGACTTTATTTCAAGTGGTTGAAACTTGAAAAGGTTGCAATATAATAACAAATCTAATGGACGATATACTTTATGCTAGCCCGAACAACTTCACAAATTCATAAGCTTAATTAGTACGAGGAAGTGGTTAACACAAAGTTTTAGATTCAGCCAATCTATTTAATAATTAAAACGTGCAACTTCACTTTCATTACATGGGTTAGGCAGCCTGCCAATTAACTACCCAAAGTATATATATATATATATATATATATTGTATCTGCTATCGTACAGCTGCTCATATTTGCAGCATTTTTATTCTCCAAGAACAAGAAAAGGAAGAGAAATCACCCGGCTTAGAATGTGGTGGAATGTTTGGAATCTCTCTATTCTTAATCAGAAATCTTGAGTTCGATATTGGGAATAAAGAACTTTTTGGTCGAAGATTTTTACCCCATAGGGCCTACGTTGAGCGAAACGGGATAGTCCAGCCAAAAAGAAATGGGACGAGAAATAGGAGACCCCCTTTTTGGCCTTTCTGAAGTGTGGCCCACACACGACCAGGAGGAAAAGAAAAGGGGGGGCCTTAGCCCTTAGAATCGAATTCTAAATCGGTGTGGTGCTGCTGGATGCTTCTGATCAATAGAACAAGAAGATGACCAAAAAGAAAGACCACCAAAAGTAACGACCACCAAGATAGGCATAGTAATTCGATCTTTTGATCACCCATTTTTTGAAAACCATTTTTGGGGGCTTCCGCCTTACACACGGAAAATTGGATTGCCTGAATCACGAGTCTTATATACTGTGTTACGATCACCTCATATTGATAAAAAGTCCAGAGAACAATTTTATATGAAAATAAAAAAAGAATTCCTGGTCATAAAAACAGAAAGGAACTTCGAATATCGAATGATTAAGCAAAAAAAAAAAAGAGAGATAGGTAGCAGCACAGTCAGGAGCGTATCTAGGTCATAGGATATTGGTTCACGTGAATCCATTCTCCTCTCCCTAAACCATGTATAGCCATGTTATATTTCTTCAAAATTACTTAAATATATGTATGTGCATCCACGCTCAAAGACTCCTATATATGGTGCAATAATTATTGGGTGCACCTCTACGAATAAAATTGATTGTTCTAATTCTACTTCGCACGGTCTTGTTTTCGAGACGGAATAAATATATATAAGTAAAAATCATTAAAATTTTAAAAAGAACATAATTTTGAACTTATAATTTCAAAAGTGTAGTGGGTTCATAGTAAGAGACTAAAGTAAACATGTTAAATATATATTCTAAATCCACCTCCTCATAATGAGTGCACCCATCCTCTTGAAATACACCTCATATCACAGTACTTTAATTTGTGGGGAAAATTAATAAAACTAAAAAAAACAACCACTTGAAATAAGAGGTTACAAAATTATTAAATATGGCTGAGAAAGATATTATGAAAATGTTATACTATATGTATTTATTCTAAAAATAGAGGAACGGCAGTGGTCATGAAATAATCAGAGATGGAGCAGTGGGCCAACTCTGTTGGATGAACAGCATCAAAATATAAGAATTGACTTGCAATTGAGCATATTGGAGTTAGATGATTACATAGCCATCCAACTTCAAATAGCCCAGTCCCACAACATCCTCTCCCTACTTCCAAATATCCTGTAAACAAAAAAGAAAAATAATTAAATTATATACACTTGCAATGAAAATGAATTTTTTAGCCATCGTACATGTTTACCTGCTACAACAGGTCAATTCTGCTAAAACATTTAGAGGTTTTTACACAATTAATATTATTTAACCTGTTATACCAAGGTTTTCTCCTTGTTTTCTAGGTGTGAAATTACTTGTAATTATCTTTTTAATTAAGTAATATAATACTGTAAAAAATAGTGTCACTGGTATAAAAGTTTAATAGGTATAAGAAGGTATTGTTTTGGTATAAAAGTTTAATACCACCTTAATACTTCGTTTGGTTAGCAAACCAGGTATAAGTTATCTCAGGATTAAAATTAACGTCGGGATAACTTATACCTTATAAAGGGTGGGGTAATTAGCACTGGTATAGCTAATACATTCTTTTTACAAATTGTGCAATTGTCATATTTAATACAACATACCAAACAATGGATAAAAAACAATCCCAGTATAACTAATCCCAGTATAACTTATCCCGACATAAGCCATATTCAAACCATACGGGTTATGCTGGGATAAGTTATCCTAGTATTGTTTTTATCCACTGTTTGGTATGTTGTATTAAAAATGACAATTGCATAACTTCTAAGAAGAAGATATAAGTTATCCCGGCACTAATTATCGCACCCCCTACAAGGTATAAGTTATCCTGGTACTAATTTTAATCCCGAAATAACTTATCCCAGGTTTGGCTAACCAAACAAAGTATTAAGGTGGTATTAAATTTTTATCGCAATACTATTTCTACTTATACCTCATACCAAACGACCCCCTAAGGGATCATTTGGTACATGGGATAAGGATAATAATCTTGGAATAGAATTTGGGATTAATTGGTTTGGGGTATTATCTAATCTCGAGACAACTTTTACACTAAAATAATGAGCTTAGTTATCCCATATAAAAGGTGGATAACTAATCACATTGGATATCCCACACGTTGGGATATCATAGCATCGTAATGGATAAGCCGAAATAATTCTGGGATAAAAATTTAGTACTGTCTTATTCCTTGTTTGGTTACTAATCCTACGATAAGTTATCTCACAATTAAAAATAGTACCGGGATAACTAAATACTTACCAGAGGATAGAAAAATAATCCCAAGATAAAACAGTAAAATTAACAATCTCAAGATTAATATAACATACCAAACAGTCAATAAGAAATAATACCATGATAACTAATCTGAGTATAATTAATCTCAATATAACTAATTCCAGCATAACTAATCCTATCATAACTCGTATTCAAACCAAACAACCCCTAATTTATTGCATGTAATCAATTTCTAAGTGACTTGGAGATAGTGTAAAGCTTATTATACCTCATTCAAGATTTTCTATCTTTTCTATCTTTTAAATTTTGTAAGTATTTACGTAAGTGCGAACAAATTAATTACTTGTTGGGCCTCCAGCCTGCATCGTTTCAGGCCAAAAGTAATATACTTAAGTTTGGTCAACATAGCATAGTGGTTATTTTAGTAGTTAGCCATTCTTTACATTGTATGGACATATTATAAATACAATGAGGCCAAAAGTGTGAAAGCCTGGCCAGTTATTCTTTCATCATCTCTCTCTTATGTTTCTGCAATGAAGAACCTCCCAGAAAACCTTCGAAACCCATTGTTGAGCTTCGATTTCTAGTCTTGTTTTTATTGGTTTGACATGGTATCAGAGCGGGAGCTTGTTTAGATTTTGCTTGTCTGCGTAGAACGGTGTTCCCCCTGTTTGTTTTCATTCAATTTTCATCGAGATTGGTTTTCGTTGGAGCTCCGTGATTTTTCGTGTGATTTTTGCCAAAAACAGTTTGTTGCTTCGTGTTTCAGTCTATTTTACGGTAGATCGTAGTGAATCTCTACGGTGTGGTAGCTGGAATTTGAGTTTTGTTCGAGATAGGGTTTTGATCGATTTTTTCGGAGCTAGGGTTTGGTTCGCTGAAGCTGTCTTACTATATCAAGGCCTTACTTCTTCAGGTTGCGAAGAAGGCTGGTATTTGTATCTCTTTTGCATGTGTTGGATTTTGATTTCAGTCTACAGTATTTGTTGGTGATTTAGTTGTTATAACCATGACTGGTGCTGCTTCTTCTTCTGCGTATACTCCTGATCCTACATCCCCTCTATTTCTTATGTCGTCTGATGCGCCTGGCGTGTCCCTGGTTCCTGTACCATTTTCGGGGAGTGGATTTGGAGGTTAGAAGCGTAGTATGATAGTGTCGTTGTCTGCTAGGAACAAGATATCATTTATAGATAGTTCGTGCCCTAAAGCTGCTGCCAATTCCCCTGATTATAAACAATGGGATCGTTGTAATAATATGGTGATATCTTGGTTAACAAGCTCATTATCACCTGATATAGCGGAGAGTGTTCAATACTTTGAGACAGCCGAAAGTATATGGAAACAATTAAATAATAGGTATGGTAGTGTAAATGGGACTAAAGTTTTTGAACTAAAAAGGGAACTTGCCTCTACCTATCAGGGATCCCTTGATATTGCTTTATATTTTACAAAACTTAAGAGAATCTGGGATGAATTGGGAATAATGTGCAGTAGTCATGCAAATTCTTGCAATTGTGCTGCTAAAGAGGGTCTCCAAAAGGAGAAAGAGGAGGACAAGGTCCATCTGTTCCTCATGGGATTGAATGAGGTTTACGTTGGTGTGAGAAGCAATCTGTTAATGATGCAACCTCTGCCATCCCTTGACAATGCCTATAACATTTTTCTTCAAGATGAAAAGTAAAGACAAGTCAACCCACCTTCTCAATTTACCCCTGAAGCAGCCTCCTTTAATGTGAACTCCCTTAATAAAACTACTCAACCCCAGCTGAATATGCAATTCCAGGGGCAGCAGAGACAGTTTACTCAAAGAGTGAATTTTGATAATCAGTCCAGGACTTCTAATCTCTTTTGCAAGTATTGCAAGAAGCCTGGGCACTTAATTGATAAGTGTTACAAGCTTCATGGATTTTCTACTAACTTCAAGTTTACTAAGGGCAGAAAAGCAGCTGCCAATATGGTGACAGATACTGAATTCTCTACTTCTGAGTGCACTTCTTCCAATCAGACTGCTATTGTGCCTGTTGCTGAAAGTGCTTTTGTGGTACCTGGGCTGACAAAGCAGCAATACTCTCAACTGCTCTCTCTCCTGCAACAATCTCATGTCTCTGATTCTGGTCCTCAACTCAATATCATGAGTTTTGCCAATTTTGCTGGTACTCTATTGCCTAAGAATGTAGTATATAGTTTTAACTTTACTTTGCTAAACCAATCTGATTCCTTAACTTGGATATTTGACTCTGGTGCTTCTGACCATATGACTGCTAATAAAGAATATCTCATTAATATCACACCTTTACCCATTCCTTTTCTAGTGTCCCTTCCAAATGGTTATAAAGTAAAAGTTACTTGCACAGGTTCCTTTGTTTTGACTGAATTTATAATTCTTCACAATGTCCTTTATCTACCTTCATTTAAGCACAATCTCATCTCTGTACACAAACTCACAGATCAATTTGATTGTATGGTTCAGTTTACAAGACTTTCATGTCTCATACAGGGCCCTTCTCTGAAGAAGTCGTTGGATCTTGGTACACTAGACAGTGGGTTGTACAAATTTGTGTGGGAAAAGCCTTCTCAACCTCAAGTTACTGTGTCAAATGCCTGCAGCAGCTTGTCTTCTTCCTCTATTTCTAACCATCTTCCTTGTATTGTAAATACTGTTTCTCTTTCTTGTAATAAAGTTGTTATGAATAAGATGGATATTGTTTGGCATAATAGACTTGCACATGTTCCTTTTATTAAGATGAAAAGTATTTCTGAAATTTCCTCTAATATTTCTTCTACACAGTCCTTTCCATGCTCTATTTGTCCCATGGCTAGACAAACTAGATTGCCATTTTCTGATAGTTCTATTCATAGTTCTAAGTCATTTCAACTTGTTCATGTTGACACTTGGGGACCATATTACACTTCTACATATTCAGGCTCCAAATATTTCCTTACCATTGTTGATGATTTCTCTAGATGCACTTGGACTCATCTAATGGGATCCAAAAGTAATGCCTTTCCCCTCCTGAAGGCTTTTGTATTGATGGTTCAAACTCAATTTTATGTCACCATTCAAAGCATAAGATCTGATAATGCTCTAGAATTAGGGAATAGTAATGATGCAGTTTCTTTCTTTTCTGAAAATGGAATCATTCATCAAACCAGTTGTCCACACACACTCAACAAAATGGTGTAGTGGAAAGAAAACATAGAACCCTCCTAGAAGCTTCCAGGGCTTTACTGTTCCAATCCAAAGTACCAATCAGGTTTTGGGGAGATTGCCTTCTTACAACCACATATATCATTAATAGACTGCCCTCTAGACTACTACAAAATAAATCACCTTATGAATTGTTGTTTGGCAAGACACCCAGCTATTCACACCTAAGAACTTTTGGCTGCCTCTATTTTGCTACTGTTCTCATTCCTCAGAGAGACAAACTGAAACCTAGAGCTATTCCATGTGTCTTTCTTGGCTATCCTTTTGCAAAGAAAGGTTATAAGTTGTATAACCTTCAGTCCAAACAGTGCTTTGTTTCTAGAGATGTCATCTTCCATGAACAAATCTTCCCTTTCTCGTCAGATTTTTTCACTTCTAGTTGTGTCAAAGTCCCCATTGTCAACCACCTCAGCATCAGTTACTCTGCCTCCTGATGCTACTACCTCTTCTAGTCATCTTTCAGTTCCTTCCCTTTCTGATGAACCATCCTTTCCTAATGCTTCTGACAACCCTCCTTCTCTTTTTGCTCCTTCACCTTCACCTTCTGATCTCTCACCCTCTCCTCACATTACTGATGCTCTACTTGACTCTACTATATCTACTTCCTCTCCTGCTACATCTGTTGCACCACTAAGAAAATCTACCAGAACGCATACTCATCCCTCTTATCTAAAGGACTATCTTTATAAACTACCTAATTCCCTTTCCTGTTCTGCTGTCCAACCTATAGAATTTGAACCATATACTTATTCTCAAGCATCCCCTATTCCAGCTTGGCAGGATGCTATGAGAAAAGAGTTTGAAGCCCTAGAAGTTAATAACACATGGGATATAGTTGAGTTACCTCCAGGTAAGAAGCCTATTAGATGCAAGTAGGTCTATAAAATTAAATACAAAGCTAATGGTGAAGTAGAAAGATACAAGGCTAGCTTGTAATTAGAGGGGATACTCAGGTTGAGGGGGTGGATTACAATGAGACATTCTCTCTTGTAGTGAAGATGTCTACTGTCAAGTGTTTGATTGTTGTTGCTATTAAGAAGAATTGGTCTTTATTTCAGCTTGATCTTAATAATGCTTTTCTTCATGGTGAGTTAGATGAGGTGGTTTATATGAAATTACCTCCTGGGCTTTCTGTTTCATCTCCTTCTTCTTCTGCTCCTTTGGCTTGCAAGTTAAAAAAGTCCATTTTATGGTCTTAGACAAGCTTCGAGGCAATGGTATGCCAAATTGTCTCAAGCTTTATATTCTAAAGGTTTTCATCATTCACTCAATAATTACTCTCTTTTTATCAAAGGGTCCCCAGGTCATCTTATCATCCTAGCTGTTTATGTTGATGATATTATACTTACTGGTGATGACTTACATGAGATTTCAGCTTTGAAACACTTTCTAGATTCTGAGTTTAAGATAAAAGACTTAGGCTTTCTTCATTATTTTTTGAATATTGAGGTCACTACTTTACCTGATGGAGTTGTATTGAATCAGAGGAAGTTCACCTTTGATCTGCTCAAAGAGTATGATTGCATGCATGTTCATTCTGTTATTAGCCCATTGGATTTGAATCAGAAACTTAAGGCTGTTGTTGAGGATCTTCTGCCTAGTCCTGAGAAGTACAGAAGCCTTGTGGGGAAGCTTTTGTTCTTGACTCACACCCGACCTGATATTTGCTTTAGTGTTCAATATTTGAGCCAGTTTATGCAGACTCCCAGGGTTCCTCACATGATTGTTGCTCTTCATTTACTAAGGTACCTCAAGGGTACTCCTGACCTTGGCCTTTTTTACTCTACCTCTACTGATTTCTCTATCAAGGCTTATTCTGACAGTGATTGGGTTGTTTGCCCTGACACACGCAAGTCTGTTTCTGGTTTTTGTGTTTTCTTGGGTGATAGCCTTGTTGGCTGGAAATCAAAGAAATAGCCTGTGATTTCTCTTTCTTCCGCTGAAACTGAGTATAGGGCTGTTAGTAAGACTGTTGCTGAATTGGTTTGGCTGTCCAGGTTGTTGAATGATCTTACTATTGTTGTTTCCTTTCCTATTTCTGTTTTTTGTAACAATATGGCAGCTATTCATATTGCCAAAAATCTTGTCTTCCACGAGCGCACACATATTGAAGTGGACTGCCACTTCATCCGGAGTAAGTTGACTGAAGGGTTCATCCAGTTGTCCCATGTTCCTACATCTGAGCAGCTAGCAGATGTCTTCACCAAGCCTCTAACTGGTGTCCTCCATCACTCCTTTCATAGCAAGTTGAAGGTTGTTTCCCCCTCCAACTTGAAGGGGGGTGTTGGGCCTCCAGCCTGCATCATTTCAGGCCCAAAGTAATATACTTAAGTTTGGTCCAGACATTTATTTTATGCTTAGCCTTGTANCTTCAAGGTTCGGAGGAGGTTGCGTTGGTGGTGGTGGAAAAGAAGCTTGTTCATCACCACTTCCGGGCGAAGCCGAATCCTCCGTAAGTTCCGCTATCATTTCTTCATAAGCTTCATCTATCGCCGGTTGTGCTTCTGCAATTCCAAAGTTTCTTCTTTCCGAGCGGATCCAATCTCTAAACAATACTGATTTTTCCAAGCTATCCCTCATAGACGCTCTATGATCACCTATTTGCAGTCTTGCTTGACTGAAAGCGCTCTCTGATGCAACAGTTGAAGCTTGAATTGATAAAATATCCCGAGCCATCCTTGCAAGAACAGGAAAATGTTTTTCCCTTGCCTTCCACCATTCCAAAAGATCAAAAGAGCCGTCTGGATTCTCCTTTTCAAGTCCCTGAGACAAATAAACTTGAAGCTCATTTAGATGTGAAGTTTCATCATAATTTTCACCTTGAGACCCCCTGAACTCCGTCCAAGATTTAAGAGCTTTTAAGCCCGCAACTCTTTTAGAGGATTGTGAGCTAGACGAAGTAGGGGTTGGAATAGTTGGCCTAGCATGCTCTAAGGCAAGTTGATAAGCATTATAAACTGTTTGAGCGTTAATCTTAATTGAAGCTTTTGCATCTGCAAGTGTCGCAATTTCCTCATTTGAAAGATCTAAAGCCTTATAAATATTTGAATACCAAAAATGAGGACCTCCCAATTTCATTGTAGGATTTAGCATTGCAGCAAGACCATAAATAGGAGGGATAGGAAAAAAATATTTTTTAAACTTTTGTTTCATTTCATTTATAGCAAGTTCATAAATATCCCCACCCTCACTAAATTCAACAAACAAATCAGATAGTGCTGCAATATAAACTAAACAGTTTGAAATAGTAGGATAATATTGCCCAGAAAATGCATTTGTTGCAATTTGAAAATGTTCTAAAAAATCTAAAAGAATTTTAACATTAGTCCAATCTTGAGTGGTAAGCATTTCATCATCATCTTCACCACCTACCCGAGAATTAAACGTTGCATTAATTGGGTTTCTATATTCATATGCTACTACTAAACTTTCGTACATACAATTCCATCTAGTCGGGCAAGGTTTAGGAACCT